AGTTTCCAGGTGTGAGTGTGGTGGAGGGACAGAACTGGAAATGGGACTGCTGACTGTATTATTTATTTATTTATAACATTTCTATGCCGCCCTTCTCACCCCGAAGGGGACTCAGAGTGGCTTACAAGATATATTTTCATACAATATATTATATTATTAGTATAGTACAATATCAGTATTATATATTACTATATTGCACTATACCATTATATTGTAATAATATTAATAATGTTACATGTAATGTAAATATATAATAACAATTATAATATTGTATTATTATTACTAGTATTATATTATATTACATTATAATATTATAAATATTATATGTATATACAATATACTATATTATATTATTAGTAAACACAAGATGGAAATGTCTTCTGTCTTTGCTCTGGCCAGAGCAGCCGTTGGTGCCACAGGGGGGAGGGGCCTCCCAACTGATGATATAGGCAGGAGACAAAATGGAAATTAAGAGGGGAAATTCATTTCTGTTAAAGAGATGGTCACCCATGATTTCCCCTTTTAGTGTCATGAGGTGGATAATGTAATGAAACACTACACTTCCCAGAAAACTGGGGGGAAAATGGTCAACTATCTGGGGGGGGGGGTGATGACATTGTTGATATCTCTAGCAGTAAATGCTTTACAATGTTAACATAAACCTGCCAATGGATATATTTGTGCTGTACTCCGAATAGATTACTGCTACGCACGCTACGTGGGGCTGCCTTTGAAGACTGTTCGGAAACTTCAACTAGTCCAATGGGCTGCAGCCAGATTACTAACTGGAACGACATACTGGGAGCACACCATCCCCTTGTTGTGTCAGCTCCACTGGCTGCCAATCCACTTCCAAACTCAATTTAAAGTGCTGTTTTGACCTATAAAGCTCTATATGGTTCTGGCCCAGCTTACTTGTCCAAACACATTTCCACTACGTCCTGCCTTGCAGTTTAATATCATCCGGTGAGACCCTGCTCTCGCTCCTGCCACGTCGCAAATATGTCTGGCAGGGACAAGAGACAGAGCCTTCTCGGCTGTGGCCCTCTGCCTGTGGAACTCGCTTCCCAATGAGGTAAGATCGGCTTCATCCCTCCTGTCTTTTAGGAAGAAATTGAAATTGTGGTTCTGGGACCAGGCTTTTGGACAGCAGGCATAAATAGCACTTTGTATATGGAATTTGACTGGAATGGTGATATGGTGGTTCTATTGTTTTAATTAATGTTCTATTTATTGTTTTAATTGTTGATGGATGCTTTGTTATATTTAATGGCATCAAATTGTGCCAAATGTAAGCCGTCCTGAGTCCCCCTTCAGGGTTTGAGAAGGATGGGGTAGAAATGCTGAAAATAAATAAATAAAATAAAATATTTCCGGATAGCCTACCTCCCCGCTACACCACTTTCCCTCCATCTATTCTTTGGATTCAGAGCGCTCCATCTTCCCAGAACTAACGTGTGTCTTTTTTTCTTGCCGTCCTCTGAGCTAGACTTGCAGCAACAGCAGTATCACTGCTACAGACAAGAGTTCTTTCTCCCACTCTGGACATTCCACAGGTATATAAAACCCCACCTGCCTAGTTTCCAACAGACCTCACAATCTCTGAGGATGCCTGCCATAGATATGGGCGAAATGTCAGGAGAGAATGCTTCTGGAACATGACCATACAGCCTGGAAAACTCACAGTAGCCCTACCCAGTAGTATCAGTATTTCGAAGCGGAACAATGGCTTCAAACTACAAGAAAGGAGATTCCATCTGAACATTAGGAAGAACTTCCTAACTGTGAGAGCTGTTCAGCAGTGAAACTCTCTGCCCCAGAGTGTAGTGGAGGCTCCTTCTTCGGAGGCTTTTAAACAGAATCTGGATGGCCATATGTCGGAGGTGCTTTGAATGCAATTTTCCTGCTTCTTGGCAGGGGGTTGGACTAGATGGCCCATGAGGTCTCTTCCAGCTCTATGATTCTATGATTCTAAATGTATGTTTGGAATACTGCATTCCAGCTTACCTGGTGCTTCTATATTCCAAATCAAACCATCTGTTAATCTTCCCTGAGCTAGAGCATTGAAAAAGTTGGGTGTGATGCTCACCTATGCTTGCTTTAGTGCCACAATAATGATGATGACGATAATAATAAGATAATAATAATAATGATATAATAATAATAATAATAATAATAATAATAATAATGAGATCAGAGTGAAGAGAGGGGCCAGGAAGGCAGTTCCATCTTGTCTCCTGCACTGTGCATATAATACAATACAATATAATCTGCCACAAATCATCACGAAGTTCAGGAGAGGCCCTGCTCTCGATCCCACCACTATCACAAACACGGTTGATGGGGATGAGAGACGGGGCCTTCTCAGCAGTGGCCCCTCACCTATCGAACACCCTCCCTAGAGATATCAGATTGACCACCTCCCTCTTGTCTTTTAGAAGGAAAATCAAGACCTGGTTATGGGACCAAGCTTTTGCTCAGTGAGCAGCAAGTGGAAGATCACACAACTTATGGCAATGAACTGACCCAGACTGGTTTTTGGATTTCTATTTTAATGGATGTGTCTTAATTCATTGTTTTAATTTTTAATATTTTGATTGTACTGTGGTTGCTTTTATGATGCTAGTATTGTATGATACTTTTGTTAGGCCGCCCTGAGTCCCCCTTTGGGGGAAGAAGGGCAGGCTATAAATATAGGAAATAAATAAATCAATAAGTAATATTGATAATGTATTGTCAAAGGCTTTCATGGCCGGAATTACACTCAAAACATTCAAAAAGAACCTTAAAACCTGGCTCTTCCACTACAGTTTTGGCGAGTAGATGTATAATACGATATTATTGCTCCCCTCAACGCTTCTGCCACTGGAGTATACGCCCTCCAAATGGAAAGTTTAGTTTCACAACTCTGTTTTTATGAGCTCCCTGCAAATAACCTGCTCCTATTTTTATCTCATTAGAATCTTTTAATTGTTTTATCCTGTACATAGGCATGTAGCCGGGGGGGGGGGGGCTTGAGGGGGTTAACCCCCCCCCCCCCCCAAATTCTCGGTCCACAAGAAGGCCTTACTGGTACATTATTTAAACTGTTATGTTTATTCTCATATATGCATGGGGGTATTGGGGTAACAATACAAAGGTTTTGCTAGGGTAGACCCTCTTTCACTCAGACAGCCCCCCACCCCCACCCCCGAATCAAACTCGGATCCCCCGAATCAAAATTCTGGCTACGGGTCTGCCTGTAGCAATATTCCTGCTTCTTGGCAGGGGGTTGGACTGGATGGCCCATGAGGTCTCTTCCAACTCTTTGATTCTATAATTCTATGATTCTATGTACATGTGGCCCACCCACTGTTATTGTGATTGTGTTTATTGGAATGTTTTTTTCCTATGTAATTTTGATGTTGTTTATGTTTTGGTTTTATTCTGCTGTAATTATGTTGTCCGGGCTTGGCCCCATGTAAGTCCCCACTGGGGAGATGGTGGTGGGGTATAAATAAAGATTATTATTATTATTATTATCTTACATTCATCACATCTGTTCTCGGTCCCACCCCTTCACAAGCAGGACTGGTGGGGATGAGAGACAGAGCCTTCTCAGTGGCGGCCCCTCGACTATCAGATTGGCCCCCTACTTCCTGGTGTTCAGGAAAAAAGTCAAGGTCAAAGCCAGCACTTTGAATTGAGTTCGGAAGTGGACCGGCAACCAGTGGAGCTGACACAACAAGGGGGCGTTTTGGTTTTTTTTGTTTGTTTGTTTGTTTGTTTGTTTCTTTTGTCGTGTCCGGAGCGACTTGAGAAACTGCAAGTCCCTTCTGGTGTGAGAGAATTGGACATTGCCCAGGGCAGGCCCGTAGCCAGGATTTCATTTCGGGGGGGGGGGGCTGAAAAAATTTTCAGGGGGGGTTTCGGGGGGACTGAGTTTCGGGGGGGCTGAGTCTGAGTGAAAGAGGGTCTAGCCTAGCAAACCTTTTGTATCATTACCCCAATACCCCCATGCATATGGTGGTCAGATCATGATATGAATAAACATAACAGTTTAAATAATGCACCAGTAAGGCCTTTTCGCGAACCACCATGAGAATTTTGGGGGGGGCTGAAGCCCCTCAAGCCCCCCCCCCCCCCCCCGTCTGCAAGGACGTTACCCAGGGGACGCCTGGATGATTTTGATGTTTTTATCATCCTTGTGGGAGGCTTCTCTCATGTCCCCGCATGAGGAGCTGGAGCTGATAGAGGGAGCTCATCCGCCTCTCCCTGGATTCGAACCTGCGACCTGTCAGTCTTCAGTCCTGCGGGCACAGGGGTTTAACCTACTGTGCCACTGGGGTATGTCGCTCCAGTTAGTAATCTGGCTGCAGCCCGTTGGACTAGTAGTTGAAGTTTCCAAACAGTCTTCAAAGGCAGCCCCACGTAGAGTGCGTTGCAGTAATCTATTCGGGGATGTAACAAGAGTGTGGACCACTGTTGCCAGATCAGACTTCCCAAGGTAGGGGCGCAGCTGGTGCACAAGCTTTAATTGTGCAAAAACTCCCCTAAACCTGGGGTTCCAGGCTCAGAGATGAATCCAGGATCACTCCCAAGCTGCCAACCTGCATCTTTCAGAAAGTAAGAGTTCTTTCTGCTTCCTGGAGCAGGCGATCTTCCTGGGAAGCCCGATCCGGTCGAGGGCTTCCCTCCCTCCTTCCCTGGGCTCTTGTTTCCGCGTCCGAGTGCGCGTGCTGGTTGCAGAGGCGCGAGACACCCAAGCACACACAAGCACCCTTCCCTCCTTCCTTCCTTCTTTCTTTCCCTGCCTGCCTGCTTTCTCCATTGGCGCACAATCCCCACTCGCACACAATCACACGCCCTCTCTTTCTCTCTCTCCAGCTCAGCCCAGACAGCGGCGGCGGCGGGGCGGGCAGGGGGCGGGGGTCAGCCGCGTCAGGCTCCCATGGCGTCACGATTGACGTCTCGCATTCCAGCCGCCGGGCTCCTCTCGCATAAATGACGTGCGGCGCGCGGAGGGAGAGAGAGATTGAGCGCGAGCAGGAGCGCGAGCCAGGCAAAGAGAGGCAGCGCAGCCCGGAGCTCCGAGGTGGAAAGCCAGGCTCCCGTCGCGCCGATGCCGCCTCGCTCTGGAGCGCTCGGGACTGAAGGAGAGCACGCTTCCCCGGAGCAGCCGAGAAGGTCCAACTCTATGTAAAGACGGAACCGCCACCGCAGCCGAGTGAGTCGGAGCAGGGACGACTTGGGCAAAGTTTGGGCTGTGAGGGGTCTGGGGTCGCTTCTCTGGGGTCGGATCCGTACTCCCCCGCCCCCCCCAAAAAACCAGGCATCGCTCGCTTTTCGCCTCCGCCGTTGCCATGGGGACGACGCTCTCCAGAGCCGGATTTTGATGCCTCCTCGTCCAGGGTGAGGCGTGAGCAGTGGGTCCGAATTGGAGAAGGGATTGGGGGGGGGGGGGGGGGTTGCAGACAACGGCGCCCCCCTCCCATCAATCCAGCAAGTGGAGCGACGCTCGCAAGTAGCGGCTCCAAACTTTTCAAGAAGGCGCGCCGGGTCTCTTCTAATGTTCGGCTTTTTGGGGCGGGGGGGGGGGAGAGATCGGGGAGCTTCTTCCTTCTGCTTCTTCCTTCCCTTCCAAGGACTAAGCCTCGGAGGAGAGGAAGCGATAGATAAAGCGGAGAGCAGCCGGCTGCCTTTCCCGATTCACTTGCCCCCCACAACAAGCCTTTCCTCCTTCTTCTCCTTCTTCTTCCTCATCATCTTCATCTCCTCCTTCTCCATCTCCTTCTCCTCCTCCTTCTCCTCTTCTTTCATCTATTTCTCCTTCTTCTGCGTCTCCTTCTTCTTCTCCTCTCTTTCTTCTTCCTTATCATCTTCATCTCCTCCTTCTCTATCTCCTCCTCCTCCTCCTCCTCTTCTTTCATCTATTTCTCCTTCTTCTACTACTTCTTCTCCTCCTTCATCTTCTTCTCCTCCTCCTTCTTCTTCCTCATCATCTTCGTCTCCTCCTTCTCCATCTCCTCCTCCTCCTCTTTCATCTTCTCATTCTACTTCTCCTTCTTCTCCTCTCCTTCTTCTTCCTTATCATCTTCATCTCCTCTTTCTCTATCTCCTCTTCCTCCTCCTCCTTCTCCTCCTCTTTCTTTTCTTCTCCTTCTACTTCTCCTCCACCTCCTCCATCTTCCTCATCATCTTCTTCTCCTCCTTCTCCATCTCCTCCTCCTCCATCTCGTCCTCCTCCTCCTCCTTCTCCTCCTCTTTCATCTTCTTCTTCTACTTCTCCTTCTTCTCCTCTCCTTCTTCTTCCTCATCATCTTCATCTCCTCCTTCTCCATCTCCATCTCCTCCTCCTCCTTCTCCTCCTCCTCCTCTTTCATCTTCTTCTTCTAATACTACTTCTTCTCCTCTCCTTCTTCTTCCTCATCATCTTCATCTCCTCCTTCTCCATCTCCTCCTCCTCCTCCTCCTCCTCTTTCATCTTCTTCTCCTTCTTCTACTTCTCCTCCTTCATCTTCTCCGCCTCCTTCTTCTTCCTCATCATCTTCTTCTCCTCCTTCTCCATCTCCTCCTCCTCCATCTCGTTCTCCTCCTCCTCCTTCTCCTCCTCCTCTTTTATCTTCTTCTCCTTCTTCTACTTCTCCTTCATCATCTTCATCTCCTCCTTCTCCATCTCCTCCCTCTATCTCGTCCTCCTCCTCCTCCTTCTCCTCCTCCTCTTTTATCTTCTTCTCCTACTTCTCCATCATCTTCATCTCCTCCTTCTCCATCTCCTCCCTCTATCTCGTCCTCCTCCTCCTTCTCCTCCTCCTCCTCTTTTTCTTCTTCTTCTTCCTTCTCCTTCATCCCTTCCTCCTCCTTCTTCTTCCTCTTCCTTCTTTTCTCCTCGACATGATAGCTTTAGCTTCAATCTTCCCTCATTTCATTGGGGAAAAGTTGCATGATAAGCAGATTTTTTTTTCATGTCAGGAGGAACTTGAGAAACTGCAAGTTGCTTCTGGTGTGAGAGAAGTGGCCGTCTGCAAGGACGTTGCCCAGGGGACGCCCGGATGTTTTGATGTTTTACCATCCTTGTGGGAGGCTTCTCTCATGTCCCCGCATGGAGCTGGAGCTGATAGAGGGAGCTCATCGCGCTCTCCCCAGATTCGAACCTGCGACCTGTCGGTCTTCAGTCCTGCCGGCACAGGGGTTTAACCCACTCCGCCCCCTGGGGCTCCTTCTTCCTCATCATCTCCTCCTCCTCCCTCTCCATCTCCTCCTCCTCCTCTTTTATCTTCTCCTTCTTCTACTTCTCCTTCTCCTCCTTCATCTTGTTCTCCTCCTCCTTCTTCTTCCTCATCATCTTCATCTCCCCCTTCTCCATCTCCTCCTCCTTCTCCATCTCCCCCTCCTCCTCCTTCTTCATCTTCTTCTCCTTCTTCTCCTTCATCTCCTCCTCCTTCATCCTCTTCTCCTTCTTCTACTACTTCTCCTCCTCCTCCTTAATCTTCTTCTCCTTCTTCTTCATCTCCTTCATCTCCTCCTCCTCCTCCTCCTCCTTCTTCTTCTTCTACTACTACTTCAAACCACAAGAAAGGCGATTCCATCTGAACATGAGGAAAAACTTCCTGACTGTGAGAGTCGTTCAGCAGTGGAACTCTCTGCCCCGGAGTGTGGTGGAGGCTCCTTCTTTGGAAGCTTTTAAACAGAGGCTGGATGGCCATCTGTCAGGGGTGATTTGAATGCAATATCCCTGCTTCTTGGCAGGGGGTTGGACTGGATGGCCCATGAGATCTCTTCCAACTCTTTGATTCTATTATTCTACTTCTTCTTCTTCATCTCCTCCTTCTCCTCCTCTTTCAACTTCTTCTCCTTCTTCTACTACTTCATTTTCCTCCTCCCCTTCCCTTCTCTCTCTTCTTCATCTCCTCCTTCTCCTTCTTCATCTTCTTCTCCTCTCTCTCTCTCCTCCTCCACCTCTTCCTCTGAAGCGACTACTTCTCTCCTTCTCTCCTCTTTCATCTCCTTCTCCTTCTACTACTTCATCTCCTCCCCCACCTCCCTCATCTTCTTCTACTTCTTCATCTCCTCCTTCTCCTCCTCCTCCATCTTCTTCCTTCTTCTACTACTTCATCTCCTTCTCTCCTCCTCCTCCTCCTCCTCCTCCTCCTCCTTCCTTACCTTGACTTTTGGTCTAGCAATGGGGCGCTTGGGGGGTGGGGGGTGAGGGGTGATCTAAAGAGCATAGCGCCATACATCCGCATGGCAAGGGGTTGGACTAGGTGGCCCATGGCGTCTCTTCCAACTCTGTCACGATTCTGTAACCGCTCAATTCGCTTCTGATACGATAAATAAATATTCTTTGATTATGCACACTGAGCTGCTAAACTTGTTGACCGAAAACAGAGGCTGGATGGCCATCTGTCAGGGTTGCTTTGAATGCAATATTCCTGCTTCTTGGCAGGGAGTTGGACTGGATGGCCCATGAGGTCTCTTCCAACTCTTTGATTCTTTGATTCTATGAAAAGGTCGCAGGTTCGAATCCGGGGGAGCGGCGTGAGCTTCCGCTGTCAGCCCCAGCTTCTGCCAACCTCGCAGTTTGAGTAGATGAAGAGGTACCGCTCCGGCGGGAAGGTAACGGCGCTCCATGCAGTCATGACTTTGGAGGTGTCTACGGACAACGCCGGCTTTTAGAAATGGAGATGAGAACCAACCCCCAGAGTCATGTCAAGGGAAAACCTTTGCTTTATCTACCTTTATGATTCTATGAAAGAGACCATCCAGCCCTGACGCCCTTCTGCCAAGCACCCTCAAAGCAGCCCCGACAGAGGGCCATCCAGCCTCTGTTTCAGAACTCACTCCTGTCCTTTGGGAGAGAGCTTGAGCCCCGCTTTGTGTTGCCTCTTTTCGATGCCCGGAAAGTTTCGAAGCGGGAGACTGCCTTTGCTTCGCGTTGAAAGACAGGCGGTCGGGTTTGTTTGGAGTGTTTACTTTGCTTTTCCCGGCGTTTCAACGCCTTCACTAAACTTCCTCCTTCGCGAAACCCTTGGGCAAAATGGGGACCCCTTCTCTCGCCTCGGTCGCTGGAAAGTGGGGAAACTGGACTCAGTCTGAGGGAAACCCATTTCCCTCCTGGTGGGAGATTGTGCCCAGACTCCCAGTCATAAGAGTCAGAGTTGAACAACTTTTGTGCGCCCCACCCCCCACCCCATTCCTCAAGGTAGCCCTAGGAATAGTTCAGTGCCCATTTGGGAGGGTCCCTTTCTGTTCTGAGGCTGTAACGGCGCTCCAGGCAGTCATGCCGGCCGCATGGCCTTGGAGGTGTCTGTGGACAACGCCGGCTCTTCGGCTTACGCATGGAAATGAGCACCAACCTCCCCCAGAGTCGGACACGACTGGACTTCAGAGGGATTTGTGGGGAGAGGGTTTCCATGCTTCGCCAAGGAGGTACCACAGCCTCCCAGTGTTGAAAACCCGACCCAATTGCGGTTCACAGCATATCCTTGAATCCTAGACATCCCGTTTTGAATCAGTGCCTTCCCGATGCTTTTGTAGCGCTCCTAGAGATTGGGTAACTCGGGGGTGATTTGACCTCCCATTAAAGTGATGGAGAATGAGAGCCCCCCCCCCCTCTTCCTCCACACCTTCCCCCCCCCCCCCCCGGTGGAAGGTGTGGTGGGACGGGGGGGGGATCATGTCAATCAACAAAGCCATCCTTTGTGGGGTCCTTTTCCTTCCTTTTGTCCTAGGAGACAGGGGATGTTAAATCCATTGAGGGCCACATCAGCCTTAAGAGCCAGGATTTTGATGGGGGGGGGGGTGAGTTTGATTGGGGGGGTGAGGATCTACCCTAGCAATCCTTTTGTGTCGTTCCCAATACCCCCATGCATATAGGCAGGCCAGTAGCCAGGATTTTGTTTCCGGGGGGGGGGAGCTGAGTTTGATTGGGGGGCTGAGTCTGAGTGAAAGAGGGTCTACCCTAGCAAACCTTTTGTATCGTTACCCCAATACCCCCATGCATATGGGATATATTGAGCAT